TGCGATCAGGCAAAATACATACAGAGCAAGCCAGGGCAGGCTCAGCACACGTGGCACGAACACGCATAGACAATTTGGTCAGATGGGCACATTCTAACACGCACACACACACACGTGCTATTATACCAATGTCGGACGTGGTGAATGTCAAGATGAATGGAGGGTACGAATGAGCAAAATAACTGGAGATCAAAGACAATTGGAGATCAAAGACATATGAACAGGGTAATCAGATGAATGGGGGATAAGCGTAATACCAAGTTACTTTCAACAGTAATTTGATGTTGCACATATGTAAGACTTGGTCTTTGAGTACGCAAGAAAAAAAGTGATCACTTCCTGTAAACACGCCAGAAACTTCACAGCGCTACACAAGCTTTCATCGACAGCAGACATATAGATCCCTTTGGGAGCCAAATTACCACTTAGCTAAAGGGTGATACGTGAGCTGGCAATCTACTCATGAACATGAGGGATGTACACAGCTGAAAAAATCCCAGCTTGCTGTACTCTTGTTCCCAGTTTCTCAAATATCTACCTGATTATCAGCTGAACTATTCAGGTGGAAAGTGAAGGAATACTTCACTAATCAATGAGTCCTGCCTATTGAAATCACTGGTATGTTCGACTGATGGATACAAAAAGTCGGAGAATGAAAAAGTACGAAAACTTTTGAGCCATGTTTGAATGCAACTAAATTTGGCACACTCCAGATGCACACAAACTGCCTGAAAAACCGGTTTGCTGAAATGTATCGATCATAGCGTTCTGACTTCGGAAATACTTGAGATAAAACAAACACAGACGATTCCACTCCATCTAGCATCGCACTGTTTTTGTCAGTGCTGTACCCAACCAAAGACCATGTGGTGTTCTCAGTCTGACATTCTTTTCTGTTCACATTGTGCCGATTTGTGCCAAGCCTGTAGATGATCACATAGTGGCAACGGACAGTGTGGAGCAATTACACCGATCGGATTTAGACCCTTTGACACGTTTCCACAAACGTTTTTAAACAGCTACAGTTAATCAATTTTCGAATTACGTGCAGCAAATCATTGTTCTCAGCCGCCCCTTCTCATCAGTGTCGCGACGCCTGTTGGTTTTTTGTCGTAATTCAGCTTAAATGAGCTGACTTACAACCGGGTGATGAGCAGTTTCATTTGAAAAACGTTGTATAGACGACTTATCTATCAGTCCTGAACTCGACAGCACAATAGTGGAGGCTCAGTAGTCTTCCATTTGTGCTCTGCGCTCAGCTTCACTAGGGAACAGAAAGGAAACATTAGTTTGTAGTTTCTCGTATTTGTATTGAGAAACAGACATAAAGCGATACGAACAAAATACCTACGTGATCGGCAGGCAAACTTCCGCAGTCCCATGAAGAAGCAGAATTATTTTTACCACCGACAACCCTGATACAAAACCAAACACAATGCAGTCCATCTAGAAAAGACGGTCACCAGTCTCCGCTCCCTACACTCCCTACTTTAAGTGAACGTTTCCAGACAGAGTTTGATAGTCTAACATTAGTCCGGGGGACGGTTTGTGAGTGTCTATTACTCCAGTGGTATTGATTCACCTAGAGGAACTCATTGAATTACAGAAGGTAGACGCAAAATAAAAAATAAATAATCGTTCAACTGTAACACCATTTTGGTGCCTGGCTGCCATGCTACCCAAAGGTAGCATGAGGACTGGGGTACTGTTGGGTTGCCCAAGCCTAGACAGAGGAGGTCGAGAGGCAGAGGTTTGATTCGAACCACGGACCTTCAGGTCAACATATTCGCGCTTTAACCACTCGAACCACCTCGCAACTCAGCGACTATCCAAGAAAATTTTAGAAAACCAGGGGAACAGGGACGTGGTCACTGGATCGGCCGTTCACTTCATCAACTCCCAAACGAACCGATTATGGTAGCTGAGAGGTGTTTGTCACGTCTGATATTACTTTGCTAAATAACAGTTCAGTCATCTGACAGACTCTTGTGTCACTAAGAGAGGGAAATCAAGGTTTTGAGAATCTCGAGAACTGCAATTCCTTGCATGCCAACCTGGTTCTCAGGGGCGTTCAACCTTAAACCCAGCTGAAACTCTCGTTTATAATGTTCTCCTTCAACTGAATGTACTCTACCCGGCGGCCTACTGTTTCAGCTGATATGGTATTCAAGGTATTGCAATACTTTGCATGGGCGTAACGCACTCCTCGTAGATTTGCTGAAAACACTTCGACAATGGAGGACCGGTTTTCTCCCTCGCGTGGTCCATCAGATAGACGCAGCTGTTTATGTTTTACTTGAATCCAAATTGTAAGACATTTAACGCGTAAATTCATTTGCATGCCGAGTTGATTTACATGTCAGACACCCTAATCTCGGTTAGATCGCTCGTTTGTAATGTTCTTTCTCTGTGTTTGTAAATTTTTGCGCTAGGAATTACGGTTTTGAATAACTACCTGCATTTTTCCCTTGTTTTAGTTCCAAATGTTAGGCATTCTCAGGGGCGTTCTTAAACCCAGCTGAAACTCTCGTTTATAATGTTCTCCTTCAACTGAATGTACTCTACCCGGCGGCCTACTGTTTCAGCTGATATGGTATTCAAGGTATTGCAATACTTTGCATGGGCGTAACGCACTCCTCGTAGATTTGCTGAAAACACTTCGACAATGGAAGACTGGTTTTCTCCCTCGCGTGGTCCATCAGATAGACGCAGCTGTTTATGTTTTACTTGAATCCAAATTGTAAGACATTTAACGCGTAAATTCATTTGCATGCCGAGTTGATTTACATGTCAGACACCCTAATCTCGGTTAGATCGCTCGTTTGTAATGTTCTTTCTCTGTGTTTGTAAATTTTTGCGCTAGGAATTACGGTTTTGAATAACTACCTGCATTTTTCCCTTGTTTTAGTTCCAAATGTTAGGCATTCTGTACCCCTCACCGCATTCTCTATACCTTCAGTGACCCAACAGAACATTATTTTGAAAAACGTTTCCATGTTCTCAACTTTCGAGAAGTACTTACCTGTGCAAGCAGTCCAACATCCACAAATATGTTTTCAAAAAAAGAGCAGTGGAGTATTCAAGCAATTTCAGACCTCATATCACAAGACTGTCTTAAGGTTACTCATGGTCTCATTTAATCTGTTAGCGCGAGCTCAGCATTTTCGCGTATACCATTATGTTTGGCTTGGTCCATTGCTTTAAGTGGTCCACCGAACGCATAACACACCATCCCAGGAAGATAGACAACTCCAATATATAATCGCTCCAAGGTTATACTCATACAACCAATATTCGTCACTTTGGCTTTCAACTCTTATGGCAGTCAAATTAAATTGTTTCCATAATGCCATAGGCCAGGTGTTCGGAAAGGGTGAGTCAATTTATCTTCACTTTATCCGTCAGAGGACTGGATAAACACCATCGTCTCGGATACCAATCAATTTCGTGAATAACTTTTGACGGTTGTCCCGAAGTAGTTTAAAATAATCAATACTGAAATGCTCACATAACACGTGAAACTTGGTTTGAACCAGTGCTGACCTTATCGGTCGGTCATGTGACTGCAGGCGATAGCCCAAATCTCATATCCGAATAGCGACCGATCGTTGCGGAGAGCAGGTCGGTCATGTGACTGCAGGCGATAGCCGAAATCTCATCCGAATAGCGTTGCGGAGAGTATGAGCCTTTTGAAATTCAGTGAAAATTTTCTTGAGAAAGCTTACACAACACAGTATACTGGATCCAGTATTTTGTTTGTGGTTCAATCAACAAGTGAGAATGCTCAATTCTACAGTTTGTGTTAAGCCATTCACACAGCGAACGAGTTCAACCTTCCAAATTTCTACTATTCACTTTTTCAAAACAGGCACGTGTGGAAATAGCTCAGATGTGCATTGTACACTGCTACTAAAGCACGTCATGTCGAGATGTGAGACTTGCACGACAGGTTAGAATAAATCAATATAACCACTTTCATTACCACCATAAAAATACGGCCCGAACAGATTCTACACCAGCGCTCAGTCATCATTCCTGCACCATGGTTTCCTTTAGATACCAACATGAATCCTCTGCCGAAATCGACGCATAAATTTTTAATTCAAAATCATATGCACACCGGTGGTCAACGGCCGGCGTGAAACTTTTGCAAAATGTTATAGTCTGCACCTACGAAAATACTTACGTTGACCTAATAGGCCATGAACCTGAAGAGCCTAGGAATACTTCTGATAAAAATACGTAAGCAGGTCCAGCCATCGGTTCAGTCGAACTGGGCAAGCCCGCATATACCATTTCGGTGCACAGCAAGTGGACGTGTCTTATTTTGGCTTATTTGCATATCTCTGGTTCTGGTTGCAAATCTGAACAACAGCATAAACTGAGTTTCTAAAAGCAACCATTTCGCGCACACAACTCGTGGTGGGGGTGTTGTCCCACAGACAAATCGGTGGGCACTAACAAAATTGGCGCAGCTAGTGGAAATCTTCTTCAGTGGACGTCACCGAGATCTTAACACAAAAGCAAACCGATACCAAAGCGGAGTAGAGAACCTGACTAAACGGCTACCTTCGGAGCTATATTTCGGCAGCAACAAACTTTAATCTCCTTACTAGAATACCTATGCTAACTGTCATTTGGTGCCATCTGGTGTCATCTGGTTCCTTGTGAAGGCATTGGTATTCGTGTACGAACCCTGGGAATCAACAGACAAAGACATGGATTAAACGGCAATCTTGAATGGAGGCCCTTGTGTATTGCATCTGATTTCCCAAGTTGCATCCCTCATAAGACTAGCATGAAACCCGAATGAAAATAAAAACAAGCACACTATATATTAACCGACTAAATGCTGATCGATGTGTGCAACCTTCACGGACCAATGAAATTGCGGTTGCTCCTTGAGTGAACAATCAGCGCACTCGGACAGCAGACAGCCAACCGACGAATCAGCTGAGTGTGCAACGAACCAAGCGAGTACGAGTCACAAGTCGTGCGTTGCTGTGTGGATCACACGTTTCGTTTATAAACAGCTCCATTGTTATTGCCGACCACCATTTATAACAACCCACACTGAACAGCACAAAATGAGCTACACCCCGTCACAGTTGGAAAGGTTGATTCTTAAATTTCTTGAATTGGATACTAATCGCGACGAAGTTGTGGATCGGCGGGAACTCAAACATGCATGGTTAAATGATGGAATAACAGAAGATGAAGTTTCGGTGAGTCTCCGTCTGTTTCACTCGTGTTCCCCATAAACTAGGATGATTCAGATTGTATCGAAATACCAGCTGTGCTCAAAAATGGACTAGAAAAAAGACCATTGTGTAACTGTTTCGCAGAGAGAATGGTGGTTTTAGTGAACTATTACTCATCACACTTTTGAAGAGTTCCCATCCAGCTGTATAGGTAGCATACTGCGCTAAAAATAGCCACTGGCCTTTTATGGAACCCTAATTCGATCTAAATTTGTTCGAACACTATGTTCAATTTCAAAGCATTTGCATTTCCTTATTTGGTAGGCTGCTATCGAGACTCCTCACTTTTGTCGTTTCTCTAATCTGCAGCATTGGCTGGACAAATATGACTTGAATGGCGATGGAAATATCACTCTGGACGAATTTTGCCATGCACTCGGCTTGAAATGCGAAGAAATGTAAGTACTCACGAGCATTCCACGGTGGAGCATTTTGTATGTGTTAGTGCTTTGATAACTGCACCGTATATTTGTTGCACACTAGGTAGTCTTCCTACCATTTGCAAGAAAGGCTAAAATGTCTGTTCAAATATCTTGTTGAAGGAAAAACCTCGGGTCAACAAATTTACTTCTTACAAACACAATCGGACCGCACTGTGACGCTGTTAATATTGGTACATCATCATCACATGGATAAATAATTCGAACCGCTTGAAAGTAGGAACCGCTATTGTAGAACCAGTTTCTCCAGAGGCTTGAGAAGCCATAGAGAAAAAACCGTACGAAGGAATCGTTTCAGGTGGGAATAACAATGCACGAACCGCTTGAAAGTAGGAACCGCTATTTTCGAACCAGTTTCTCCAGAGGCTTGAGAAGTCATAGAGAAAAACCGCACGAAGGAATCGTGTCAGGTGGGAATAACAATGTAGTAATAAAACAAAATCACAGAGGCACTAAATGAGGCCGATCAGACCGAAGTGCTTTGGTCATAAGCAGTATTCGCAATTATCTTGAAACTAAGAGGCTTGTTCCAAAGCAAAACCACTGCACGTGAAGGCTTCTCGGTCGTTCTTAGGTGCATTTTCCTACGTAAGTGAAAAAGCCACGGGAAATACCACGTAAACACGAGCTCCATCGTTTCTCCAAATGTAATTTGTTGGTACCATCATTGCATTTAATCTCGCCCCGACCCAGAAGGTTACCTGATTTATTTGCATTACCAATCATGAAGGCGTGCTGAAAGCGGCCATGGATTCAAATGTGTCCCTCCATCAATCCTGATGGTATCTAGTTCACGTGGGGGGTCACACTGATACCCAGGTCTGCATGTTACGTATTCGAAGACAAATTATTGCAACGGAAGCCAGTATATTTACTTCGCCCATGTTGAATGCAATTGGTGACTTGATTGTGGTATCAGGAAGGATCAAAGTAAAAAATTTAGTCTGTTATCATAATGTGCAATCCTCTAACAGATCTATAGGATACCTGTCACGCTCGTGCGTACGGTTAAAGTGAATTAATCGGAGTGCATGTTCAAGTAGGCTGTGGGACACAGGAATGTTAGACCTACTGGCTCCAGTCACAATGAATGTCGCGGGCTCACTGTGGATTAAGGTGCGTGCCCGAGACGAGGTGAAATATAGATATGGCCGAATTTAGATACTGACTCGAGGGCGGCGATCGGCCTGAAGAGTATTTGTGATGTTGAGATGTAGGAAGATGGGATCTAAGCTTGGTTCATTTCAGCTTTCCAACCCTTGACCCTTAATGGATGCACGTCGGCATGGTACTCCAAATAATCTATATGCAGCCTCTTTATGTTTATCGTGTTCAGACGTTTTGTGAAGTTGACATTCAATTCTGAAGCCATGCTAGAAGGCAACCTAATTAATTGACTGTGCTAGGGTGCTTTGTGTAGCATTTTTTCAGGTGGCATCACCATGATCCGAAAAACGAGTAAAAAGTTGGCGTTCTATTGATAGACACCAAAACTGGTAACCCAACAAATGAAACAGAATAGTATCGAGGACTATTTTAGATCTTACTTGCCAAGGGAATTTGTGAGAACAATAATTCAGTGAACCAAGGCTGCCAAAATGGGTCTATGATGAGTTGTTATACAGCATGATTGAATCTATTTGCTATCGCGGATGATTTTTATGCAGTCAAAGTTCACAGGTTTTGTTTCGTTTTCTCTCCTCAATTTAAGAGTCTCTTGGATAGTCAAACTTAGCCCGATATAGGAGTTCATATCATTAAATGCAATTTTACACTACACTATTTCCCTCCAAAATCTGTCTTCCTGAAGACAGCATGTGAAACTTGTTAACTTACTTTTGATTTACATTAAAAAAACTAACGTTTTAGACCTACCAAGTGTTCTCCTATTGAAAACAGCGAGCTTTAAGTGCAGAAAAGGGATAAAATCCAAACAATGTGCACTGATTTCATCGCTGGAAACCTTCCAGTGGATGGTTTTCCGGGGCAACATACTTCCTTACCGAAAAGGTGGAGTGTACTATATTGAAAATACAATGCATTCTGCATAGGCCGCTGGTGTAAAATCTAAATTTTGTATACTGAGTGAGTTATTGTAGCTGCATTTTTGGGAACTTTTTGGTGAGTAACAGGGTGATCCAACACTGGCTTGATAAATGGACCGTCCATGCTTCACGAAAAGGCTGCGTGGAAAGGTCATCGGGAAAGAAACTTCTCTTGTGTAAAGGTATAAAAAAGGTCACATGGACTGATCAGTTTAATTTCAACCAGGTTTCTTCTGGGAATTAACCAAGATGATTAAGAAACGTTACTCTTGTTCGGATGCGTAAATAATGGGCATAGTATTCATGAATGACTTCTCCAATTATATCTTGCTCAGCGGAAGTTTTCGAACCAAAAATTGCATCGATCAATCGAGCTCTAGAGTAGCTCTGGGTACACATCATGAAAACGTAATATGACAGCTCATGATATTCACCATTATTCCATTTCCAATGAACGAATCAGGAAGATTTTCGCTCAAAAGATGGCTAACCCCAGCAGCAGGATCTCCACCAAGCGATGGTCAATACTAACATAAGATAAGCTGAACATGCAAACGAGGTGGAACAGAAACCTCCTGTGAATGAGATGAGGAGCGAGGATCACTGCGCTGGGCACTTAAGATATCCTAATTTTCCACTCTTGACGATAGGTGATATTATTAAGTGCTACACTGTCTGCATCAGTTTTAAGTATTTAGCTGCTTATCAAGGAGCTAATCATGTTGCAATGTGAACATAGATGCCTTCTCTTCCTGTCATTAACAAAAAATGAATAATAAGAGATCGCTATAAAGTGATTAAAATCAACATCTAAGGTTTCAGAAGTTTGTGTTCAAGTTTGAGGGCCCGTTGCCCCCTGGATCCCCAAGATTTCCGGTTCAAAGAAAACCCTCAATGCATAGAGCATGTCACAAGCCGGGTCCAAAGTTCACGTGTTTTTACATCTTGTATGACTGAAGATGGATTAATCAGCTTGTTTTACGCAGAATTATGATGAAGTGATTACATCACTAAAAATCAAGAAGCGCTGCTCAACTTACAAACTAACACTAGTAAGTCTACACAATGAGCATCAGGGGTAACCTTTAACCGCTTTTTCCCAGAATTAAGCTTTTCTTTCAGTACCGGGCAATCGATTTCAGTATACCACCTGTGACGTATGGCTTTACGTGTCCAAACTGATCCGTAGCATGCTATGTGCTGAAAATGCTCTGAGTTGGACACCGTCTGTCTGGAAAGTCTTCTGAACCCACAACTCCACGACCTGTTATGTTCCACAAAAAACTTCGTGAGGTGGTACAACTTTTTCCGTGAAAAACGAAGATGGAAGGGACCCTCGAGTTAGCTTGACAAACAACGTGGTGTATTGTTGTTTGAGTCTAAATATGGACGAATATGAATGTAGAAAATGCTGCAACTAAGCCTTGGGTTCTAGTGAAAGCAACACTTGAGGATCGTGTCAGATGTAATTATTAGGACCTTGATTTTACATTGGAGTATAAATAGACTTAAAAACTGCAACAAAACGGATGAATTAGGCGACATTTGACGATTAAATACTGGTGACTGTGAGATGCCAGTTAGTGAAAGATACATAGGAGTACGTGACGCAGTGCGATGTATTTCTAAGTAGGTACAACGGAGAGGAATGGAGCGAAAATTCGCCCCGCTAAATAGGGCAACAACGTCACCAAAAGCAAAACTTTGTACAACGGAAGGAATGGAGCGAAAATTCGCCCCGCTAAATAGGGCAACAACGTCACCAAAAGCAAAACTTTCAATGGATTAACCGGAAACGGGAAAATGTCCGGGGCTCAAACTGTAGCATGAATAGCGTTCGACGTTACCACACATAACCCGAACGCGGCCTTGTCCATCAACCCGACGCCTGGACACTTTACACTTAAAGAACATCTGGTTATCTGACGTGACGTCTTCAAGGGGAAGGTAATGTGTAATCGCGTTGATAGGATGACACTTGTGTCCACTTAAAGTGAGCAATGTGAAGTTTGCGCAGTCATCTAAATTATTGGAGCCATCCTGACTACTAGTGAAAGACTATTCTTTAAACGAGACTTAATGAGGAATAAAAAAACAAGGGAGATGTGGCATGTTGAAGCGCAATTACTTTTATTGGAAATGGATGTCCATGAAGATATCACCCTTAATTTTAGCTAACGGGATATCTTTCGTTATTTAAGAAAATTGCGGTCCCTCTTGAAGGTTTTTTTCTTACGACCACCGTTCTACGTGTCACGCAATCGTTGCCGTCATCTTGTTTTTAAAATATATGATCTATTGAGTACGTATTTGTTATAAGCGGGTTGTAGTTCAGCACCAATCCCACTGGAAGTTCACAGAATCCTTTTGAAACGGTCCACTTTGTTATATGCACTCAAAAATCAACTCTTTCTTACAGGCGTATTGAACGCTATGAACGTCAACGGGAACGTGATGGGTTCGCCAAAGTTTTGAATCCCGACGTGTCGATCATCGCTAGTACAATGTCGTTGGACAAACAAGTGGACATTACAAATAAATTTGTTGAACTACTCAAGGAAACATCCGGGCGACCGGAGGATCTAAATGAGGTGGCGAAGAACCTAAAAGACTACCTAGATAAGCAGTATGGCCGGGTCTGGCAAACGGTGCTGGTGGCCGGATCGTACTGGATGAAGTTCTCACACGAGCCATTTATGTCACTTCAGTTCAAGTGCGGACCACACATTTGCCTCGTCTGGCGCACACCATGCATTGAAAGGGATTCATTTAACTGAGAATTTCTCAGAACACTACCCAAGGAAAGCATACCACCGAACTACCCAGCCAATATGTCAGCTTATGAATGTTTATAAATTGTTCGATAGATTCTGTTTCAAAATCATTCCAATCTGAATAAAAGAAGGCTTTTGCAAGTTCCGTTTTCTTTCCGTCATTTTCTCTCTCGGACACTTAGCGTGTGCCCTCGGATGTAAGAGTATGTTTCCCAGGCTGTTGACGAAGTGCTGTCAAGCCAGAAGACAAACTTGGCTAAAATATCAGAACTTACCTGTAGACCATAACACTCGCCTTGTTTGGTCACTGTACAAATTTGAGAAAGTTGTCTAACTGAACTTAAAATTTCCCAATGCTTTACAAAAATGTACTTCGGACCGAAAGCTTCCAAGATTTTTAACTGGCTGTGATGTTTCGTTCCCTTTACCCTCACATTACCCTTGAACCGGATCTGATCCGGATGATACATAACGGTGGAGGAAGCATACAAAAATGAAACTTCCTACGGGACTTGTGAGAGTTCTTTTCCCATAAGGGTTAAGAAATAGCTTTTTTGTTGTTTAAAGCAGTTTAACTTACACTGTGCAGTAAACTTCTGGCATTGTCACTCAACCTGGTCACATTATACTTCCTAAAAGGATGTCACTTAGAATTACATAAGCATAGGTTTCACGGAATCCATTGATTGTCACAGGTGAATCATGTCAATGAAACAGAGTTTAAAGGAGCTTGCTAGACGGCTGGTACGAAATGTCTAGGTGAAGTTGTGGGGCACCGCATATGATTGTCTCTTCTGTTCTTTGAAATTTACAGTCGCTCGTGAAGTGCGGACTTATCGGTCGTTATTCTTTATTTAGACTGTCGTTATAGACTCGCTCTGCTGTCCTCAACCAGAAACCATCTGCCCAACATTTGGCTTCCGTTTAACCAGATATTTGTTTTACCAAGACGAAATATGTGGTATCTGCAAGAAATGAAACACTTTTACAAGCTACACTTGCTACGCATTTGAATAAATCACAACTCCCGCAATGAAAGCAGTGGAAAAACAGCTAACTAATCTCATTTCAAACAGATTTGATTTTGCGGGAGACTCACCTGAAACCCAGCTGAATCTCTCGTTTGTGATGTTTCCAGGCAACTGAGTGTGCTGCACCAGGCCACCTCATGTTTCAGTCGCTACGATGTTTGAGATATCGCGATACAAGGCCAAATTTGTTTCCAACTGAGGGTACTTCGCAATTTGGTTTCAAGTAGAACATATGGTTGACAAAAATTCGGGGACTGCGCCTACCTGATGAGCCCGAAGAAGGGCGAAACCGGTTGTGGACTGTCAACGAATTTTCAGCAGCCTTATGAGTAGTGCAGCGGGAAGACACTTCAACACGAGCACATATGTATCAGGCTGGTTGGTTCACCAAACGGAGGAATAAAACCATCCCTGTTATACATACAGGTCTTTTAATATAGATGGCCTGGAAGCTTGCGTTGGACCACAGCATTCAGAAAGGATCGTTTGTAGCAATAGAAGATCAGGAGACTTCAAAATACAAATAAGTTCTCTTTTCAGTTAGAGTAATTAATGGCTTAAAGTTCTTATCTCCAGACGAACACGTGAAGATTGCATCTCAGATTAAATGTACGCTTAAAATCAAAGGAGTGGTGGCTGAATGGCAGCAACATGCTGCATTATGAATCTGGCCTCTTCTTATCTGATCCATGGGAATCGATTCTTTGGTCATCAACACACGAGAATATTTCAAACGGATTTTCTCCGCATTGAATTCTTGTTGGATATCTGGTAGGCGAGGCCTTGTGAGCACAATAAGCATCGTCATTCACCTTTGGCTAGGCACTGTTGCGGGATATAGTTAGCTGGGGTGTACTGCTTGATGACTAATCTGTTTGCAACTTTCCGGCTTGGTGGACAGAACGTCATATTTGCCTTCTTTTATGAACGGAATCCTAGACATTCACGGAGTCCAAGTACTAATATACTGTATTGGGTTGAGAACTCGCAAAATTCAAGTATTTCTAAATCAAGGTGACACCAATGTCATAGAAAAACTAGATAGTTAAGCAATTTTTCCACGGTGCGTTTTCAGGTGTTCGGATAGATCCTGAAGACTACAACGATCTTACTTTGGTAGGACTGCCCATTTCACATCACTTTCTTGGTTTTATTAATATAATTGTTCGAATGTCTTCAGTACCGAACTGCAGGCTGCTAGGAAGAATGTCAATCCAACCACGAATACAGCTTCTGCTCAATATATAGGGCGTTAACTTATCGCTATCCTGTGGTCCACACTCCCTAGGAAACACAATAATCACGCCGACATTCAGCAACATCAAAACGATGCAGAGTATTTTGCTTTCAGGTTTCGATAAAAAAAAACTTATACGCGGCGCATAAAGATGAATTTCGTGTGAGAACTTGTGACAGCAATGTGACTACGAGGTCACACAATGAAGGACATCTTTTCACGCGCAGGATATCATTTGAATTAGTCAATCATTTTCTATGGCTATCTTAGCATAGGAAAATCTATAGTACCTCCGATTGGTCGCTTGTTGAAGACGTGCATTCCTCTCCATATTGACACTTCAAATCTCTCAAACCTTTTTACCGAATCATTTTGTTTAATGGAATTCTAATTTGCAAACTAGTTCGGGTTTTTTTACTTTGGAATTTGAATAGCCGATAAGCCTTTCGGCAAGGCAACATGCTCAGAATACTTGGTACATTGCATTTGGATGAACAGCTATTACCTCCTTCGGTAGAAGGCTAATAAGTGACAGGATACACAATGTATATGACGCGAGTCTTCTGCGTCCACTTTGAAACTACTGAAGCTGGGTGGCCTACATGATAAGACTCTGAAATCATCCCTTACAACAGCCGACATCTTCGCGTTATGTAGATTTTTGTTTCCAGAATTAGTTAGGCAAGGTAAGAAGTGTGAGTACCAGGCTGCAGGTTGACTTTTGAGGAATCACGTGTCAATCACGTGGACATATGACGATGATTTTGGGCTGGACTACTGGACTACTGCATTGCGCAAATGAGTGAAAATGGTCGTAACAGGTTATCGTACGTTCCGGTCACTCTACAGGCTAGGTACTGCTCATGAGATTTCACTTGGATTTCACTTTTATTTGACACAATTTGTTGTTTGCAGTGGTTGCTTCAACGGCCAACCTACGTTTCTCGGACTCCCAATCTTGATATGAAATTAAAATGAGTCCATATGTTGATGCCAATTCACCTAATTATTGTTAACCATTGTTGGGAATAGCGCATTACAAAAAGGAGTGAACAAATCAACAGTTAATAAAATAAAGCTTTGTGTATTTCAGAGAGCCAAAACCGACTGAGAACATCTCTCGACGAAAACATAAACCTCCTATTCTCAATTCTATATTTTGCGTGGACCACAGTAATGCATTTATTCGTCCCTACTCTCTATTTGTTTGTTTCAGATATGACAGTATTGAGGAAATGAAAATATTTGTTGACTGTTCTTTCCCTTTTCGGACGCACCTAGAGCTAAGCAGTGCCTCAAAGGTATAAATTTTCGGGTTCTTCAGTGTAGTATTTCTCATCAAGAGGGAATCCTGTGCAGTTTATCGTCACATGCGCGTTCCGGAGCGTCCATTCACTGGGTTTGGTAGATTTAATGCGCAATTAAGCGCACACAGCTCAATGGTCTTGGCAATATTTTGGTCACACGATTGTGTGTTCTCGCCGGTGTTTAAATCGAAACTTGCATTGGCAAGTGCGTGTGTCAATGCGACAGGCAATCAGGTGTAATCGCACTCAACCACCAATCAGCCCCATAAGCCAGGTTGTGGTTTTTGTGTTCGCCTTTGCTAATCTTCCAACCACAGAGTCTATGATTTCAGCCCTTCCGACAGAGAAAACCACACTGAACTTAGATCTATCGATTATACCCGCATCAACGAGTGGCTTGTGCGTAAATTGAGTAGAAAAATCAGGATCGATAATGCACATCCATAAAATGAAAAACAATGCAATGACAGTGTTCGTAGATGACTCCAAACGATAAAAGGTCACTGTTATTAACCAGGCGGCACAGCGATGAAAAATTCTACCAAGCTGGGACCAAATCTATGTAATAATGAATCCAGTCAAATTCCAAACTTAGTGAATTAATTCTTGAGGCTTTTGTATTTCATAGTATGATCCTCAAGTTGATGAAACGGAAAAACAAGGAAAAGTAAACTATCCTTACAAACGTTACTACTGCTACCATACAGTACTTAATAAAAAATACGGGCAAGTTTCATAGCTATAAATCGTCCCAACCTCAAGCCCGAAATTCATCCTCTCTCGCAGACCTGTGACTACGTTAAAAGCTGCTTCAAAGGTTCCGAATGTTGACAGTCCAGTTGATATACGAATATGTATAATAAGTGATATGGACGGCGGCCCACAGAAAGACCAATACAACCGATTAGCACTGACTTTGCTCAAACCATCCGTTCTTTGATAACACAAAAACTGATTCCTCTTCTTCACATGACATATACTGACCGCTGTGTTAAAGGCAAAAACTGGGTGGGCAGTGTTTGTCAAGATTTGGCTTAAATTGTCCCATCGTCCCTCCCATTTTATGTGGCTAATTTTCCATCAGTTTAAAACACATTATATCTTATGCCACAATGAATGATGCACTGTAGACTATGCACCGTCACCACTAAAGGCGATCTGTATGAGGAGGAGTTAGTCCTCTTTGGAAAGTCTTGTTTATCGTGCATTTCTTCAAAGAACAAATACTACCAGGGGGCGCACAACCCGTCTACCACACGGGCACCTTTTTCACTGTCACTGAGGATTAAAGTACAAAGTAGCTTTTCTTCAGCTATAAATGCACACTTGTCATCCACCTCTTGATGTGTTAAGTCTTCGCAATAATTCTACCTTTAGTAAACCTTTGTTTAAAATGTTTTCAAACTTTTATATAGAGGAGAATGTCGGTAGCTCAGGTAGCGTAGATGGTCGTTGGCCACACAACCACTAACCCACCGCTACGCACAACTACGCACTGATGATGTCACCTCGATTGGTGATGAAACGTTTGCAACCAAATTGCCCAGCTCAGCGAACATGCCAACGACCAT